AAATCCTCAAGTGCATTATTTCATTTGAGTTTTCCGGTCATTCTGCACATTAGACATATTGAGCCGCACTTGTAGATGAAACCAGAGAATCAGAGAATCAAGGGACCTGCAAAGTGTGACACAGATAATTCGTGAAGGGCTGGCCTTTACCCCACTGCTCCTGAGTAGAACCTGCGTACTGGACAGCCAGCTGCTCTGCCTGCCCCTACACCTTAATCATTTTTACAGGTTCTCCTCAAGAGGGCCCCAGGGTTTTCTTTTCTTTACGATATACTCATAAGGAAGAAACTCAAAACAGCATCCTGGATCAGCACACATTTGAAGAATATAGCTATTTGCAGAGACCATTCTGTTTACAAAGAAAGCACTAGGCCTTCTCTCCTTGTGACTTAGCCATGTCATCCTGACTAAACACACACCACTGAGGAGGACGTGACCAGAGTCTAATTCCCTGACAATGAAGCAGAGGTCAGTGAGGAAAGAGCAATGTCCCACCCAAAATGGCCACAGCTCCCCAATTTCAACTGAGGAAGGTCACAGGATATTTGACTCAACAGGACCTGGCAGGGACCCAAGAGAAAAAGCCTCCTTTACCACTATCCCAGCATCCCAGCATCCTTTTCCAGAAAACACAGTCAGTTTGGCTTGAGTTTCAGGGGAAAAAGTTGTGTAAGAATTTTTAAAAATCTCAAAACTATTTATCAGACAGTAGAAAATACTTCCCTGTCACTCTCCAAATTGCTAACATTTGTGGCGCACAACAGAGGGGAAACAGCCGTAAAGATGACTTATCCTGCGCCCTTTTGAAGTGCGGTGACTGTCGGACAAGTAAATAGAAAAATAATAGCTGAGGAGATTCAAATTTATTTTAGCTTAGTGAATCTCCAGATCAAAATGTGTTTGATTAACCAATTGAGTTTTTATTTAGTCCTGTTTTGTTTCTAAATTTTCCTCTCTTTTCACGGATGCCAGCAGATTCTGCTTGTGATCACTTGCCCACGTCACACTTCACCACTCAGGAGAGACTACCTGGTGGTTGGAACCCCACTGCCAGTTCCTGGAGTCACCCTCAAAGAGGGATGATGCCCGCAGAGGTGGGCAGGTGGGGTGGCGGCTGGGGACCCTCCCAAAGACCGAGTCCAAGGACAATGAGTTCATGGATATGAGGCTGAGACAGCTCTGTCTGCCCTTGAGGCCTTGTGGCCGCTGTTTCCTCCCTCCCCTTCCTCTCTGCCTCTGTCTTCTCCCACTTGCCTCCCCACAAGCACACAGGCTCCAAAGTGGCAGACAAATTATACTTGATCTTTGGGGCCACTAGAATTTTCTTGTGGAAGATGGCAAATACTACACCCCATCCCCTGTCTGCCCCAGCCAGCACCCCACCATCCCAGCCCTTTTACCAACTGCAGGTGCTCAAGGGCAAGCCCAGAGCCAGGAGGATGCAGGTCAGTGCAGACTGAGTTACCAGAGGCCTTCAGAGCAGTTCAGTGGGCAGGGGCACTGACAGGGAGGGAGGGGAGAGCACTGCATGAAGGAGTCTCCATTGCTGCTGATTCTGAGTGCACTAGCTCTGCAAACAGAGCATTTGGGGACTCACAGGTAGCCCTGAGGTCCCATTGTTTCATTGCACTTAATGACAATTAATATCTCTGAAGGTGAGAAAAACTCAATATCACTTTGGATCTAAGCTCTTTCAGAGATTTCTTTTGAGAAGGCCAGACAATTAAATTGATTTAAGTTTCACTTTTCATAAAATCTTAGAGTTACAGAAAGAATAAATTCTGGCCAACACCATTTAAATTAAGTGTGATTTTTAAGTAACTAGGTTTAAAGACTATGAAAAAGCGGCATCATTCACAGTCCCCAAGTCACAGAATCAACCTATATGCCCATGAAGAGTCGACTAGATAAAGACACAGTGGAATACAGACTCAATGAATACAACTTGACCATTAAAAAAAGATGACATGGTGCCTTTAGGGGCAAAATGGATGCATCTTGCCTAAGGTGATGATGCTATGTCAAATAAGTCAGAGGGTGAAAGAGAGTTACCAGATGGTTTCATTCACTTCTGGAAAATAAATAGTCAAAGAAAACAAACTGGCAAAATGACAAGAATAATTCTCAGACTCTGTAAAAAATAAACTGGTTACCAGAGGGGATGGAGGGAAGGGAAAAACTGGTTACCAAACGGGAGGGAAGGTCACAGGGTTGTGGCCCTGCAGATCAGGAGAAGGGTGAGTGAGGCATGAACCTACGGAGGTCTGAAGGTCTGCCCCCCAAGTTATACTGTTGTGTAAATGTGGAAAATCAATAAAACTTGAGAGGAAAATATGATGATAATTAGCATGGTCTGATTATTCTTGAGACTGTGGCCTCAGTGGAGTGATGAGGGACCCTGAAGACAAGCAGCTTCAGGATAACAAGGGGGAGTGACAGTCAGAATGTAACAGGGTGGTCCCCAGGAAAGGGGGAGGTTCCCTGCCCCACCCAAGGGAGGGTGGAGCTGAGCAGGAAGAAGAGAAGCTGCAGAAGAGACTGAGGAAGGAAGGAAGCAGGATGGAGCCAGAAGGAGACCTGGAGGAGGCGCATGGAGCCGAGAGACACGTGAAGAAACTGCGCTTGTCTTTTGGTCGTGGACTGGGTGACACAGATGTGGGTGAGACCCGTGGGGAGGTGACAATGGCAGCTTCTATCTTGATTTTGATTTTGCTCTTTTCCTTCCAGGCTTGTCTGGTTGTTTCTGACCCTTTTCTGAGGGTCCCCACTGGAAGATGCTTTAGACTTATGGCAGGCTTTGGGGCCTTGCTCTGGGCCAATCCCATTTGGATGGACTTTTACCCACGAGGGGACGGGTAACTTTGGGTGCTTCATTTAGAAACTAGACTCTTTGCCTTACCTGTATTGTTTCCTAGTTTTATTAAAGTTCCTTCCCATTAAAGTCTCCTATGTTTTGTGTTGATGCGGCGGATGGCAGAACCCATTTAGAGTAGGCAGGTTTGCGGGGTTTGGGCTACCCCTCTCCCTGTCCTATAACAAGAAGAGCTGGGCTCACAGATGCCAGAACTAGGAAGGGAGGCCTTGGGGTGGCCCTGCTCCCATTCTCACATGGGGAAGCCCAGCCCCCACAAGGCAAGCGAGTGGGACTAGCACATCAGTGCTCTTCCTGTCACCTCCCTTTGTGAAATCAGGAACCTACACACAAGATCTACCTTAGTGGGGCCTCCCCTCGCGGTGCAGCGGTTGAGCGCTGGGCTATGAAGCTGCCCGAAGCCTCTGTGGCGCGGTTCGATCCCCAGCCACCAGGTGAGGGTTCCACATGGCTCGCAGACCTCTCCTGCCGCCCGCTGCTCCCCTCAGCAGTGTACTTCGGTCCTTTTGCCTGTTCTGCTCCCTGCTCTGGCTCTGGTGAATTCTCTCACCCTCCTGCACTTCTGACTTGTATAAACAAACAAATAGATCTTAAAAAAAAAAAAATCTACCTTACAGGAAGGTAAAGGTGTGAGTCAAGGAGGCTGTTGTGAGTTCAAACAGCAGGTGAGTGCTCAGACCTTCCTCCACAGCAGAGTAAGAGGACAGAGAAAGGCAGAACAGCCCAGAAGGCCCAGGACTTATCAGCTCACTCAGAGGCCTTGCAGGAATTTCCTGTTATGTGACTTGGGTTTTGCAAGTACCACAACTAAGCAGAGGCTGTCACCCTTCCCTCCCTCTTAGGAGAAATGCCTCCTCTTGAGTCACTGGTCGCCTGTGCCTGTAGCTCTCCAAAGATGGGGGGCCAGCTCCAAGAATGCACCCAGGGAGTAAACATTAGGGTCCACAGGAGGACTAAGAGTGGCCAGGGAACAGGGAAATCCCAGCTCCAGGTGGCTTTGTGCAGGAAGAGTCAGCAACATGGAACTCTAGGGACCCAGGGCCATTGGCCCAGATTTTAACAAAAACCTGTTTCCTTTTCCTTCAACTGGAAGAGATAAATTGCACTGGAAAGTGCACTTGCAAACACCAAACTAAAACTACTGCAGCACTCCAGAGGTAAACCCCATGGCCCCGGCCCCCACACCCACCCCCTCCATCCCAGAAGGAACTGCAGGGGGAGTTTGAGATAATTTCCTTGGTTTTCCTCATTTTTACCTCTGGTGTCTGTATCCTTAAAGATCACAGCTTCACAGTACACCTTTTTTTTAAATTCATGCATTCTGCTTATCAAATTAAATGACTACCAAATGCCAAAAAAAAAAAAAAAAAAAAAAAAAAGAAGATCACAGCTTCATTTTGTCTGTGCATGTAACTACCGTTGGCTCATTTTTGTTTCTGTATGTACTCAACTGGATAAAGATATTTTCTTTATCCATTCTACTCTCTTTGGACACTTAAGCTATTTTCAGGTTTTGGCTACCACAAACAATACTGCAGTGAATATTCTTGAACATTCTCCAGATTGTCAGGCACTAGAATGTGGCTAGGATCCTGTAGGACAATAAAACACCAACTCTTGAAGAATGTGCTTCTTCCCCTTAACTAGGTGATGGCAATCTGGGCCCAAAGGTGTTCTGCCTTTTCCTCCTTACAGAGGCTGCATGGGCACTCAGCTTATACATGGAAGAAGCTGGTGACTCAGACGCCAAGAAGGCCTAGTTCACAACCAGAACAGCAAGTTAAAGTCATACCCTGATACCTCTTCTATAAGACAAAGCCCACAATTTAAAAATTCTGAGCTCCACCAGAACCAACAACCCAATAGCAAGGCTTCCACAAGAGAAATGTCACAAATACTCCAGAAAGAACAAGTTAGCAACTACAGTTTTGGAGCAGACCTTGGACCCCAAAACACACACACACACACATCCCACTACCTCCCCCCCATAAGAAATAAGTGCAAATGTGTCCTTACCATATCAAATACAGAAAGACTGCAAATGAGCTCAGTCTGCCATGGGCGGCAGGAAAGAGAGGGGTTAAGGGCTGGAGGGGTCCCGGAGCTGCCCCCTACAGCTGCCACATACCTGTACACTGGCTGCATCTCTCTCGCTATGCCAATGACAGCACTGGGCAGGAAGTTGTCAAACTCCTCAAACAATTCTCGGATGTTGGTCTTGTACTTTAGGTCTAGGTCCAGCTGAATTATTCGCAGGATTTCTAGAGGAAAGAAAAATACAACAATAATACACAAACACACATCCTGGGAGGCTCAGTCATTGGTGGAAATGAAGTGGAGGACACAGAAACAGGCCCAGGGTGATTCTCCTGTCACTGACTGGTGCAGAGCAGGAAACAAGGCCCTTCCTTAGACAGCAACCCCTTAGCAGTGGAGTCTTCAAAACAGTTCTCCCATTGCTGGAATTCCTTCCATTGATGGACATACCTTTTGTTTCAAACTAGGTAACCACCTGCTCCAGGGGAAGCCTACTCTTCTGGTGTAATTGTGCATAGCACAACATCTAGTTCTCAGAAGTATCTGACTGGATGATACACTCTGGACTCCCTATGACAACTCGAAGCATGCAGGTGGTAAATGACTCACAGAAAGAGCGGTGACAGCTGTTACTCTCTCAGGCCCTTCTAGTACATGCTGCACACCTTGACACAGGACAAGCCCTCAGAGAAGCATCTGAAAGGCCTCAGACACTGTGAGTATTAGCCCACTGCCTGAAAGACAAACAGTTATAATAACGAATCAAAGAGAGGCTAACAGTACCTGACATGTAAGAGCCATTTGCTTCTTTGGCCTCCAGGGACTTGGCTCTGGGAAGGCAGGAAGGAGGTGCTGGCCAAGTTCCTCCCCTGGTCATTCACCCAACCCAGCTTGCCCAAGCGCTATGCTGTAGGTAGCCAACACCAGGAAGGAGGGGACAGAAAGCTTGCTGACTGGGACCCTGCCATTGAGGAGAGACATATGGGGAAGTAGCGCTGACATGAAATGGAAGAGGGGCCCCGGTGCTCCTCAAGGGATTGAAGAAGTGAGGGTGTTTGGTACTAAGGGCAATGCCTGACCAGGGAGTAAGAGCACATGAATGCAAATTATAACTGAAGAAAATGGATTCCTTTGTTGCCTGTTCTATTTGCCTTTGTGCTGCAGAAACATAACACTAGTTGACAATCTACAATCTGAAAAAATCAGAAGTAAATATCCAGCTGCCAGAGTAAAGTGAGAGACCCCAGGTTGGGTCTCCTAGCCTTGTGGGAGGGGGCCACAGTACAAGGCTGCCCAGGTCACAGTGGATGCCTGACTGGCCTCAAACTGCCCATCCCACATGTGATGAGTAAAACTGCTACTTTCCCTCTTGCACTAACAACTGGGAAAGTGAAGGCCTGGGAGCCTGGATGTCAGGAAGCTCTCATGGTGACTTGGCTGTCTCCCAGAAAGTGGCCCTAAACTAAGTGCAGAGGATACAGACATGCCACAGGACAGTCTCGGGCACCTGCTGCTCTCAGAGGTTGCCTGGTGAACCACCAGGTGACCCCAGGGAAAGACACTGTGTCACAGGGGAGAACATGGAGGGGTAAGAGTTGCAGCATCAAGAAGTTCTGATGGAGATGACTCGCAGCACATCCCCTCTTCAGCCATTTGTCCACTTTCTTTTGGAGCACCTCCATGCCCCAACTCCCAGGGTCCCAGACAGCGCCTAACTAAGGCAAAGCAGAGCCCTAATGAAAGGGACAGGATAGCACCACCATCCCGAGCAGGCAGTGACATCATTGCAGGTTTGGCTGATAAAAGGACAGAGAGATGGGAAACCTCAAGGATATATGATGGTAATTTTGTGGCATTGTCAGTCAATGGAAGAAGGAAAAATCTCATCCTCAAGGCCCAGAGAACATTTCCAGTCACATCAACAATGGCACAAGGAAACACCCTCTCTCTAAGTAGTTTTTAAGTGTCTAGCATTGCCCACACAATTATTTATTTCTCATAACCACCCAACACATTAAGTGGAGTTATTCCCATGTTTAAGACAAAGAAATGGAAGCTTAGAAAGGTTAAAAACAATAGCCTAAGGTCACCCAACAGGCATGTGTTGGAGCTGGGATTCTAACCCTGGTCCCTGGAATCAAGGGCCCTACACACTCCTTCTAATAGCTACTGATTCCCCCTCTGATCCAAGAGGAACTCCAGGGAGGTGAATTTTGGCTCCACTGGTACCTACCCAGGGCACCCAGAAGCAGGGAAGAGTGCCAAAGACCTTGACAGACAAAAAAGCATTCTGGAACACAGCAATAAGCTGGCCAAATGAAGGCGTGTTTTTTTGTCTTTTTCTAAAAAGGATTTATTTATTTATGTGTACAAGAACTGGGGTACAGGCCAGAGGTGCGGGGAGTAAGAGGATTCACCAGAGACAGAGTGGGGAACAGAACAGGCAGATCGAACGAAGTACACTGCTGAAGGGAGTGAGGGGCAAGACAGGAGAGGTCTGCTGTGCCATGTGGGTAGCTCCCTGGCCGGCAGGAATCGAACTCGTGCTGCAGAGGATGCAGATTGCTTCATAGGTTGCGTCTTAACCAGGGGGCCCTGTTTTTTGGGTTTTTTTTTTTTTGAGGACATATAGGTTTATAACACTGTTTTAGAGGTATAGGATCTCCTCCTTCAGGTATTGTTTGCTACCACACCCACACCCATTACCCACCCCCATAGTCCACTGTGCCCCCTCCACTCTGCCCTCCCTCTCACTCACTCCAGTGGCCTCAACTCTACAGTTTAGACACCCACAGAGTCTAGGATTTGTTATTGGCTTAGCTTTTTCTGACCCTTTGGTCTGTTTCTGTATATTCCACAGGTAAGTGTGAGAGCAGTCCTCTACATGAAAATGGCAATTTCACTATAACTGAAGAAACCCCTGGTGGTACAGAGGTTATGTATTCAGTCAGTCAGTCAGTCAGTAATTCTTCCTGAAAGCCACCACATGCTATCTCTCTGAACTTTCAGGTCATCTAAATCTCACTTATTCTGCATGGTGCAGCCTGAATGCTCCCATTCCTGGCCTGCCAGGACAGCCCTCCTCAGAAGTGGAGGCTCCCCGCCCAGGTCACTGCTCCCTTGTGCCTGTCTCACCGCCCTTGCCAGAGAGCATGCTCCCTCGGTGGGGGATGTACTGGAAAGGCCTGCCCCAGGAAGTCAGAAGTCTCTGAAGAAACTGGCTCCTTCATTTTGGAAGAGCCCAGGCTTTGTCTTTAAAAAGCCCTCACTAAAGTTGAGCACTTTCCTGCCTTTTAAGGACTAGTCAGGAGTGAACCTGGGAGCTCTTGGGCAGTCCTAAGACAAAGGTCAATTTGAGAGATTCTTAACATCTTTTAAAATTCCCCATTTCTAAAGCATCTTTCAGTAAGGGTTTGCTAAAAATGGCTCGCGCTTCTTTCAAACGGGGCCCCACCAAACAGGTTTAACTGATGAGGAAGGAAAGGGGCAGCAGCTCCACACAGTGTGACCCTTTCACATGGATGGGAAAGGACTGACCCAGCAGTCACCTTTCAGGCTGAGGCAGGACACTCCCTTCTAGAGGGAGGCTGGGAGTCCCAGCACAGCCTGCACGGTCACGTGGGCATCTGTCCAGACAGCTATCCCCTTATGTAATTATGCAGCAAGATGCCAAGTTGAAAAGAGGAAGATGCTTACTAGGAATGCTGGAATTCATTAGGATGGGATTTTTTTTTTAAGGGTCCTGGTCCTTGGTATAATCATCTCTTGGTGGGAACTGCATCTGGGAGGTTTTATACATATGCTGAAATGCTGTTGTAAGGACGAAAGGAGACTGGCGTATGGAAGGGCAGGCACAGTGAGCCAGGAAAGGACACTGGCTGGAGGACAGTTACAATGACAGCAGTAGGCCCACTGAAATGGGACAAACAAATGAATATTTGCTACACAAGCAAGGAAGAGATGAGATCTATTAAGCACAGGGAAGAAGAATGTCTGAGAAAAGGGAGGAGTAGACAGCTCCAAACATCAAGAGAAAAACCAGCATTTAAGGCTGGTGATGACTACCATGTCAGAATCCCATGAGAAGATAACAGAAAGATAGAGGACAGAATAATCCAGGATAACAGATCTGAAGAGAGCCTCATAGTAACTGAAGCCAATTTTACCCATTTTACAGATGGGGAAACTGAGGACCAAAGAAGAAAGGGAACTTATCAGGGGATCACACAGTTGAGGTAAGTGGCAAAGCTGATCCCAGCTCAGGTCTTCTGACTCATTCTGGAAAAAAGATGCTATTGCTCTTGTATTAATTAGCTCCCTTTCCCACCACCAACTCCCAATATGGGAGAACAGAAAATATTGTGTAATGGCCCAAAGGGTTGTGCACAAGACTTGCCAGGCCCCCACCGAGTATCTGTACATCACCCCATGAACATGTAAAACTGAAGACTAATAAGCAGTAGCCAAGGAGATGAAATCAGAGACCTCCGTAATCCACACCCTGATAGCCAGCTTTTAGGAATGAGAAACTTACTCTCCATAGTTTCATCAGGGAGGGATGTTAAAAAAAAAACAAGCAAAACAAATCTTTACATTCCTCTTGAATTGAGCCTTGCTTCATTCAAAGGGAAGCAGGAATCTGACTTAGCATCAGCAGTCGTGGATGCTTGCGTAGAGACGCAAGCTCAGCGACCAGAGTGAGGCGCAGTGACCACAGAAGAGCACTGTCCACCACCCGCCCCGCTGTCCTCTGTTCTAGTTAGACCCAGTCATTCCTGGAAATGTGTTTGCTGCCACAGCCAACTAGCTGGATGAGGGGCCTTCCAAATAGCTGCTCAGATATAAAAATCTTCTCACGTATGTGTTTAAATCACAAAAGAGCTGACGTTTCATTGTGTCTGTGTTATTTTCTCAGGCAGCAGGAAGTTTGCTCATGTGTCAGGAAAATCCCTTTGTGGGCACCTGGTATTTGAGGGACACATTGTGCTGGGTGCCCTCCTCAGAGTGCTCCACTGCTGGGGCTAACTGACCAGGTCTCTTGGTAGACGAGGGGACCCAGCACTGCTTCCGGCATCCCCACCTCACGTGTCGGCAGCCAGAGCTCTCAACACTGGTTTCCATGAGGAACGATATTTGGTAAGAAATCCAGAAGGTTGACCAGGGCTATTTCAGAAAGTAGAAAAAGTGCTGCCTCCAGGGCCCTGGCTGAAGCCCTCAGACACAA